TGTCTATACTGTAGAATTGGAAGCCAACAAACTTAGAATTTTTAACCCCATTAACAACTAATTTGCTCCATCTCAAGCCCTAGCTGTCTCGGTATAAGTTAACAGTTTTTTCCCTCTATTAGATTTGTACAAGTCTGTTAGTAACAGCATTAGTAAAAAGAAAGCCTTGTGTGCTAAAAAAATTAAGAAAGTATAAAGTACTTCATGGATGCAACTGACCTGGTCATGTTTGCCAAATCGGTCAAAGTCGAAAACATTTAGAACCAATGTTTGGCCTCCTATCTCATTATACGGTATCTGCAACAGCAAGGAAGGCCATAGAAACACAAGAAAAGGATAACTTCCAATACTAAAACAAGTTACCTTGAATGTGAAACTCTCATTGAAGACAGGATTAAGTGATTTTCGCTGAACTTTTGTTTGGAACTTCTTCTTTTTATCCGGAAGAAGAAACAGTTTCACATAGGGATCAGAAGTACCGCCAAGATCCATAGCCGGTAGTTCTTCGGCTTGCAGGATAACGATCGTCAACTGAAATGAAAAAGGATGTTAAATGGGGAATTTTAAATTAAGAAAAAAGTAATGACAGTAATTTCCAGTTTTTCGAATAGTCAATGAGCTAATGCTTTCCAGTAACCTCGATTCTGAGTAATACTAAGCAAATCCTAAAAAATTGCAGAAACAGTCCTAGTTGACGCACAAATGCGTTGATTTATAGCTATTCCATTTAGCCCATGTACAGTTTTGAAATCATAGGAGCAAGTGCACTCTAGCAAACCTCAGTGCAGTTATAGTATATCTGAAAAACGAATTTTGTACCCCACGTGAATTTATTCTTGAGTATGAGGAATGCCATCTCCGCGCTAATCTCATTTATCTGTTTCAAGAATAGAGAGTGCGTTAATGTGCTTGATCCTTTTTTTCTTGCAAATTTAGTTGATGATGCCGACTCTACTGTGTTTTGTTGTTGCTCGATTTGAAACTCTTCATTAGCTTTTCTGATTCAGGATAAAAGGCATAATTTCTGTCTGAGTTTTGAGATTTTCGCAAAAGTCGGCAAAAATCCGAGATTTTTTCACCATTTCTGGATGGAGAGATAAATTCTCATTGATTTAAAGATACAATGTCATCTTGCAATCATTATTACGTAGTTTATCCCCCCAAAGCACTCGGGCAAAAAAGTTATAAATAAACTCCAAAAGTAATGTGTTTTGATTTTGGTATTCAATGAGAAGTTTCACGAGCTTTGGCAATCTACTTTGCTAAACTAATTTTTTTGAAACTTAAGTATATATACTGAAGGAGAAAATGTAGGTATTGTAAAATAGAGAGAATAACGTCATTTGATATCGTAAACAAATTAGAAGATTTTTTAACTGGGTTAAACCAAAACTCGGGGTTAACAATCACCATTGCTCTTGGACGACTCTTAGTTTCGTCTGTAATGACGGCCGTACTGCGAGTTAACTGCCATTTATGAAGATTGCAAATCCATTTGAGTCAAAAGGAATTGAAGGCAGTGATAGCAGTGCTCATTTATAGAAAACTACTCCATAGGAGTTTTTCCATGGAATGAACGCTGCTTATCTGCGTTTCTACTCCTTACAGCACTCTCGCGCCTCATTGCAACTCGCAGTTAGCTCGCCATTTCGTTTCATTTGTTAATTGCCAGCTAACTTTGAGATTAATTACGAGTTAGCTCCGAGTTTGATCTGCGATCAAATTGTTATTTTTACCGCCTTTAAATTTATGAAACTTACTCTACATAAACTTTTTATTGAACCAGTACATCCTCTTATACTTTTTTGCTTTTCGCACGATAACTGCGATCTTGCAACTTTTATCTGAGAGTTAATTTTAAGTTATTTGCAGTCTACTAGCAGGTAAATTGCAATTCATTTTCAAAGTTCTATCACCTCTGATTACAAGAATTTCATAATTCAAAACAATAGGAAAGACGCATGTACCAGAGCTGTGAAGTATCAAATAAGTCGTAAAAATACATGTTTTCCCTAATTTATAGCTGAAAATTGGCCACATAGCTTCAGGTCACACGCAGTTCAAAATGTTACCTATGTTCACAATTAGTGAGATGATCAGAACATATCATTTCATCGAGAGTTGAGATTCTTAACTCATTTTTAGCCCTAATAGATTTTGGCTCGGGAGGAGATCTGCAACTGTACTAACACAGCATATAACTCTGATTATTTATTCTAAGAGACTCTGCTTTTCCGTTCCTTTTCTTCATTTCTCGTTTCTGCACTTCTACTTCCCTTTATTTTGGTGTACGAAATTGACAGTTGTTGTGCAGAGCCGAAAAGGCTTTGCAGAGCAATTGTCAAATTTATAGACCAATATATCCGGGGATATTTTGGTATATGAACAAATGTGGGATCGAATCCTGGATAGAGAAGAACAGGAACAAATAGAAATCCCAATGATTCTAAGGTTTCTGATTTTTTCTACTCGCTCCATCTCGTAGTGGATATAGAACAAGCATGGGTCTGACCCTTCAAAGACTCACTCAATCATGTTCTCTAACAAGCCAGCAATCAGCTGCCCTTTCACTTTCTTCGTTGCTGG